TCGGTTCATTGCTCGCAGTGCCACAACAAGATGCGAAATTTCTGCAAATTTATTTCACTGGAAATGATGCACTGGAAGTAGACAAGCGTTGCGCAATTAGTTCTGGGATCCGACGCGAGATCATTTCAAGCTTGCAGGCAATGTTCCATGAACAAAACAATTTGATTCGCCTTTTTAAAACACCTCTGGATCAAATGCCATCAGATGACTATAGTGTTGTTATTAGAGCAGACAAAGCTCCTGCTGGTGAACATGAAAGGCGCTTCAATGCTCCAGTAACAGGGGATGTTGCAATTGTAATAGTTGGCACCGAATTCGATCGACGTGACATCATTATCCACCGGCGAAATGCTAATGTGCAGAGAGTATCGGAAACACATCGATCGTATGATGCACTCCAATATCCAGTGCTGTTTCCCCATGGAGAAGAAGGATATCATTTCAAGATCAGGCAAGTCGACCCCAGCACAAGTGAAGCGACGACATAGAAAGTGTCCTGAATGGATTATTATGCAAACCGCATTATGATTCGTGGAAATGAATCCAATCATATCTTAAAATGTCGTGAATTATTCCAACAGTTTATTGTGGACATGTACGCGGAAGTCGAAAGTGAACGTCTTCTTTTCATTCGCTTAAATCAAAAGAAGCTGCGCGTTGAAGAATACGATCATTTACGTGATGCAGTTGCTAATGTTGGAAACATTTCTGACATTGGACAAATGGTAATTTTACCTGTAACATATACAGGAAGCCCGCGGCACATGCACGAATACGGGCAAGATGCTATGACGTACGTTCGAAAGTATGGACGACCAGACCTATTAATCACCTTCACTTGCAATCCATCGTGGAGTGAAATAACCGAATTGCTTTTTGCAGGTCAGAGCTTATCGCACAGACATGATCTTCTCGCTCGAATATTCAAGCAAAAGCTAATAAGTCTTACGAATGTCATCACGAAGAATTTTGTTTTTGGAGAAACCAGATGCAGGATGTACTTAATTGAATGGCAAAAGAGAGGCTTACCACACGCTCACATTTTGTTTTGGTTGAAGCAAAAAATTATACCTACACAAATTGATAGCGTTATATCAGCTTCCAAATCAAGCCGAAGATCCCATTCTTTTTGAAATAATCAAGAAAAATATGAATCATGGGCCATGCGGTACTTTTAATCCTAATTCACCATGTATGCAAAACGGCAAATGCACAAAGCGATATCCACGTGAGTTCTTTACTGAAACTCAAACTGGAGGTGATGGATATCCTCTGTATAGGCGAAGAAATCCCACTAATGGTGGATACACAACTACTATTAAGATGCGAAGTGTAGATATCGACATAGACAATAGATGGATCGTGCCATACTCGCCACTACTTTCAAAAATGTTTAATGCTCACATCAATGTTGAGTATTGTAATTCGGTAAAGTCCATAAAATATATTTGTAAATATGTTAACAAGGGCAGTGACATGGCAGTATTCGGATTAGCAAATCGAGGTGATGAGATCACGCAATATCAAACAGGGCGCTACATCAGCAGTAACGAAGCAGTATGGCGGATATTTGCATTCAATATTCACGAACGATATCCAACGGTTCAACATCTCGCTGTTCATTTGGAAAATGGTCAGCGAGTTTACTTCACCGAAGAAAATGCGCAAAACAGAGCAGAGCAACCACAAAACACAACACTGACTGCTTTTTTCGAATTGTGTACATCCGAAAATTGAGCTAAAACGTTGCTGTATCAAGATGTGCCCAAATATTATACTTGGAACACATCGACAAAAAAGTTCAACAGAAGAAAAAGAGGTGCAATTGTTCCAGAGCATCCTGGTATATATTCGTCCGATGCATTGGGACGTGTGTATACTGTTCATCCAAATAACGCCGAGTGCTATTATTTGCGGTTGTTGCTGCATACAATCAAAGGGCCGACATCATTCCTTGCATTGAAAACCATCGACGGAGTAGAATGCCAAACGTACAGAGAAGCGTGCTTTAAACTGGGCTTACTTGAGAATGATCAGAATTGGAACAAAACTCTGACCGAAGCATCACTCACGTGCCATCCAAAGCAAATACGAACTTTGTTTGCGATAATTTTAACAACATGCGCACCATCGAATCCTCGACAACTGTGGGAAGTGCATCGTGAAAGCCTCAGTGAAGATATTCTAAGACAAGCACGTGCAAGCGATCCAAGTCAGGAATATTCGGATGACATTTTCAATGAAGCTTTAATATTAATGGAGGACTTATGCATGTCAATCAACAACAAAGCTCTTTGTCTACTCGGTATGCCAGCACCGACACGAGATAGAAATGCTGCACAAGACAGAGACTTGATGCGAGAACAGCAGTTTGATACAAATCAGCTTGAACGAGTTGTGCAAACGCAAAAAGAGTTTTTAGTTGCTGATCAGAAAAAGCTTATGACAAAATCATGCAACGTGTAACCAAAGGAGATGGCGGAATTATCTTCCTAGATGCTCCAGGAGGTACCGGGAAAACTTTCCTCATCAATTTAATATTGGCGTCAGTTCGAATGCGAAATGGGATTGCAGTAGCAGTAGCATCATCGGGGATTGCATCAACACTACTTGATGGAGGACGTACAGCGCATTCAGCACTTAAGCTTCCATTGAATTTGCACCAGACCAAAACACCTACATGCAACATCAGCAAAAACTCTGATATGGCCATAGTCATTAAAACGTGCAAAATTATAATTTGGGACGAATGCACCATGGCACATAAGAAATCGCTCGAAGCACTTGACCGAACTCTGCGAGATTTTCGTGGAAAAGACCAACCGATGGGAGGCGCTCTTATACTTCTTGCAGGTGATTTTCGTCAAACATTACCACGATCAACGCCTGCAGACGAGCTGAACGCGTGCTTAAAAGCATCGCATCTGTGGAACTATGTCGAAAAAATTACGCTCACAACAAATATGCGAGTGCATTTGCTGCAAGATACGTCTGCCCAAATATTTTCAAAGCAACGTTTAGATATCGGAAACGGTAAAATTCATATTGATCGCACAACAAATGAGATATCATTTCCGTCCAACTTTTGTCAAATGCAGCAGAGCATTAAAGACGTCATCGACAGAGTATTTCCGAACTTAACGATCAACTACCGAAATCCGGAATGGCTCCGCGAACGTGCAATTTTAGCTCCGAAGAACGATGATGTTAGTAAATTAAACGGTCAAATTCAATTCAAAATTCCAGGAGAAGCAGTCGAATATAAATCGATTGATACAGTAATGGACAAAGATCAAGCTGTTAATTACCCAACTGAATTTCTTAATTCTTTGGAGCCACCTGGAATGCCTCCTCATTCGTTGGCGTTAAAAGTTGGATCACCAGTGATGCTTATTCGGAACTTGAACGCGCCGAAACTGTGCAACGGAACCAGAGTGATAATAAAAAAATTAACACCGAATTTGATCGAGGCAACAATCATCAGCGGTAAATTCAAAGGCGAAGATGTGCTGATTCCACGTATACCGATGAATTCCAACGATTTACCGTTCGAATTCAAGCGGCTTCAATTCCCTTTGCGTCTTGCCTTTGCTATAACTATAAATAAAGCTCAAGGGCAATCATTAACTATTGCGGGTTTGGATTTGAAAAATTCGTGCTTTTCACATGGCCAATTATACGTCGCCTGTTCACGAGTTGGGACACCACAAAATTTATATATTTACACACCAAATGAAAAAACTAAAAATATTGTTTATCCCTTAGCATTAAGGTAAATAAAAAGGTATTCAATTTCAAATCTCTAAATACATGTGTTTTTCTTTGGCGTAGCAACGCGCGCCGGGTATTGCTAGTATATACAAATAAAAGAAGTAAACACAATAACCATCGAGTAAATTTTTATTTGTGTCAAACTGAAACTTTTTTCCAATAATAAACGGTTAGCTGATTCACGTCTACAGCAAGTTCACAAAATTAATTGAAAACTTGTATCAACCAAAGCATTGTTTATATTTGCTCAACAATGATTTTATTCAACTAACAATATTGTCCTCTCAAGGTAGTCGTTTTGTAATTATTAACAAATATACATTTGTCCTAACTAGAAGTCTCAAGTAACTTGCAGACTTTCGTGAACTAGATATTTATTTCGCCACATCCAACTATGTCACTTGGTCACTATAACCAAATCTTGGTTATTATAAATAATAATAATAGATTGGCGCTTACACATATGTTAGTGTTTGGCCGAGCTTCTCCTCTGATTTGTGGCGTGGGCCTTGATGTTGTCACACAAAGCGGAGGGACCTACAGTTTTACGCCGACTCCGAATGGCGATTGTATTTTTATGAGGGGCTGTTTTTTCATGGCAGAAATACACTCGGAGGTTTGCCATTGCCTGCCGACGGACGACCGCTGTTGAGAAAAAACCCTTTTTCTATATTTTTTGCGATGTTGCTTTGACCAGGGTTTGAACCCAGGCGTTGCGGAGTGGAACGCGCACTGCTTACCACTACACCACAGCGGCTTGGTTAATATAACTAAACCTTTTTCTGAGTGTAGCTAGGTATGTCGACCCGCTGTAGTCCTTATACACCTACCCGTTTCCTTTGTTTGGGCAGCAGTTTAGGAGGAAGTTTGTTACACGACTCGCCTGCAGCCCGCAAAAACGATATACCAGCGAACTGCAAAACGATGCTCAAAATTTATACCAAATTTAAAGTAAAAGTACAGTTTTATACCAAACTTAAAAAACTTCATACCCAAAAACTTTATTTTTTATTAACAAGGCCAATAGAGTGAACTGTACCTTTATAAAAAAATAAAAAAAAATAAAAAATAAAAAATAATATAAAGAATATTATGAATACTGAAAAAAAGATGTAGGCGGCTTAATTTTCTGAGTACAAGTGTACATTGTGTATTCCGTATTCTATCATAATAAAAAATTGTCAAAATAATAAAACGGTTTACTATCCAAATGAATGACTTTTATTTATACT